ATAGCTACATCAACATTCCCTTAGCCATCATCTTTATCATCAAGCCCGGAGAGTTTTCTTCTTCATACACGTCCTAAACCACGTTTTGTGGCTTGTGTGGCTTTGTTTCACTGGGAAACTAGAGCACACTGCACTCGCGTGAGGCCCAGTCAGCCAAGTAGTGCCTGTGGTGGCCCCTTAGTTCTTGAGTCCCATTGTGCTGGTGTACGTGGTCCTGCCTCAGCACAGGGATCTAGCCTTCATGGCCTCCCGAGGTCCCTTCCAGCCTGGCATTTCCACAACTGCAAGATCAATAACTGCAAGATCATCAACCAATAACTGCCTTACAATTAAAAACCGCCAACAGGAGCACTAAGTGTAATATACAGGCACTCGGGGGCTGTAGGAAATTGGGGGAAGAGGTTTGAGGTTTTTAACTAGCTCTTCCCCCAAATGAAGTGCAGCAACAGACCTCCCTCCCATGTTCGTCCGTTCCTTCTTCCTGCACCCCAAGTGGCTTGGGTCATTAACTATTCACTTTGCTAGTTTACAGCTGTGTCACTGCAAAGTCCCAGTGAACTGTACTAAACAGCACAAAATCCAAGAAAAACATTTACTCCAAAACAGAAAAGAGCCCTGGACAAACATTCTACTTTGGAGTCCTCTGTGAAGGCTCAACGCCATGGCCTCCTTCTAAGGCAGATCAAAGTCTGAGCAAGGTAGAAATAAGCACAATGCTGTCACAAACACAGCACCTCTCCAACTGCTCCAGCCTGGGGCAGGGTGACAAGGCCCGAATGGACATCCCAGAGCCACCTGGAGCAGCAGCCTTGCCGTTTGTGTTACAGTAGTGCCTCCTTAAGCGGGGCCCCGAAAAGGCCTGGAGCCCTACTGTGCTAAGCCCCATACATACACAGAGCCAGAGCCGCCCTACCCCAAAGAGTTTGCCATCTAAACAGCCAAGACTAACTTTCCAAATGCTGGTGGAAAGATCTGTCCAGCCAGCCCCTCGTGCAATCCCAGGTCACTTCATACATGACTGGTTTCAGCACAAGGATGGCGGAGCTCGCCATGCGTTCCTGTCCAATCCTTGCATGCACTTACATGAGCTCTCCCAAACTCACCGGCTCCCAGGGCCCCAAACCTCATCAGAGAAGATGATGTAGCTATGCTGTGGTGTCACATTTCAGCCGCGGGGGCAGCAGAAGCAGGTGAGTCTGGAGGGGCCGATGTAAGTGTATTCCAGGACAGGGCTAGGCATCCTCAGCACTATGGCAAGGAGGGTTGGCTATTCCTGGGTTTGTATGATGTCAGTGCTCTCTTGTTTGTTCCCCAGCCCTGGGAGTCACCTTGGCATGGCGGCTGGCCTTCTCCACTATTGCACTCCACGAAAGACTTAGGTCTCCATCATGGCTGCATGTCTGTGTAGAACACTCAAGGTAAAAGGGACTGATAAAATAAGCAATGAAGAGGTCCCAGAACGGGCACCGCGACTTACAATTAGGGATGTAAAATGCCATTCAGTTAGTTAACCGGTTAAATGTTAAGTTTAACTGGTTAACTGATAAAACAGGGGCAGGTGGGGAGGCCATTCCAGCACACTGTTGTAAGTAGGAGGTGACCGGGTCACCATTAACCATTACCCAGGAGCAGCTCTCCACCTGTGGATGGACCCTGAGTCAGAAGAGGCTGAACAGTGCCTGTCCCTAAGTGAGCAAGCTGAAGAAACGAAAACACATAAAAGCACAACTACCAGTAGCCACAGACGACACCTGACAGAACAGAAATATGCCCCACAACACAGACAAAGAAAGTGGCAGGTCCCGGTGCTCTGTACAGTCATAGTTGAAAAGCTATGGCATGGACCAACCAAGCCACCACAATGGGTCATGTGGAGGGGGGTGTACGCAACGGCACATGAGCAGATCTACTCAATGCTGGCTTATCCTTGAAGGAGACTCATTAGCAGCAGTACATCAAAATTACAACCATAACCCCAACGGATTCTGGCTAGACTTGCATTGCTGAGGAACACAGAAAACTCCCGAGTTGCAGCATCACACGTCTTGCAGAGCCTCAGTGGGGTGTTAGTATCTATCTGAATAAAACTAAAAAAATTATCATCCACAGCCAAACATCATCAGTGTTTCAATGTGCATTTCTGAATGTTTAACTCAGCTTGAAACCAAATCCCCTCTCAAACTGGGGAGTAAATAATAAATGAAATGCTCAGAAAAGAAAAAAGGAAACAGCAATTTCTCCTTTAGAAGGACATTTCTTCTTTTACAGTTTAATTTATTTCTGAGCAGAGAATCATTTTTAAAGCTTAGTCATTTCATAGAAGTTTTTGATCATTTGCAATCCCTGAAAATGTCTCCAAAGAACAAAGTTTTTGCCTGATTCTAGATAGAACAGAATAAAGCTGAAAATTCAGAACACATTTCTGGATATACAGGTATGTTTTCTCTCTTCCCTCCTCTGAGTTTCTGAGCCCATTACTCCCTCACACAAAAGTATCAGTAAAACTGTCACATCAGTTGAGGTGACAGAAGTCTATCAGTTGCTATTTATGCACAGAGTAATTCCTTCAAAATTTTGACTGATTAAATTGTCATTCCAACCACATGTTCAAAGAAAGAGCTGCAGGATAACAAAAACTTCCCATCCAAGAGCTGAATTACTTCCTATGTCACAATCATAATTAGCCAACAAAGAGCTGGTTTTCTGATGAAAAGCAGGCATCACCCCATAGCAATAATATTACTATACACTGAGAAATGCCAACAGTTTGGTTGCTAATAATTTTTTGTCCTAGAATTTTTTGTCCCTTTTCAGATTCTTATTCCTTTGCTAAACTTTTTTTACTTTGGGGGTGAAGTTTGGGAAGTTTCTTCTCAAGTTGCTGTTTGTATATGGTAAGTTTCCATACAAATGCTCTAACCATTTTCAAGAAGAAAGAGAGTAGGGAAACATACTTTTGCACTGATTAATAAAAAAGACCTAAAGAGTCAATGAGAAGTGGCAGGGTTTTGACGTTTACAAAGGAAATATGCTATAAAAGTTGCCGTCTGTGGTCAGATGAAAACCAGTATCCACATGGCTGAGATACAGCGGTTCAAACAGCATCCTTTGTGGATGCACCCATATTTGTGTTGTACCATGTGAGTAAATGGGCATAAGGCTGTGACAAAGATGTGGCACCCTTGGGAGTCTTCTTAAGAGATGCAAGATGATTTCCTGATCTCAGTAATGCACAGCTTGTCCAAGACAGACCAGTCAGTATCCACGGACTCTACTAGCTACCGTACCGCCTCGCCTGTCTTTTCTGACACCAAATTCTCCCTTATGTAATCTTGTTTCACAAGCACTCCTTCCTCCTGGGGAAGAGGTAGGAGACTGTTTGAGTGGAAGCTAGAGAAGGCTCAGCATTCAGCATGCCTGCAAGAATAAGACAGACCGCAGAGAGACAGTATTTTGCAATAAGGAGCGCTACTGACAGCTAGAAGGATTGGTATAAGAAAGACTGATGAAGAATCATCTGACATCTGCATCCCCGATGGTGCTGTCATCTGCTATTACAGAATGGCTCTTGGTAGGATGTGGAAGGGGAGGCACTTTTAACATAACATCCCACCGCACTGCCTTTGTTCCAATGGTTACACCTTCCACCACATTCATACCATAACAGATAGTCTGCAATGTATGACCAGGACATCAAATGCACAAATTCAAGACATTTATTTCAATGTGCAAGTAATGCTCCCTTCCTTCCTTCTTCTATAAAAGCAAGGAAATGAAACTCAGAAAGATAAATTATGCAATCTTAAAATGTAGATTTCAAACACAGTCATGGGATTGCCTGGGGTGGCTGGGGCCTCTTCCCTGGGCCAGCCAGGCCTGTAGGGGCTCCACAGTTCTCCTGCATTGTCGGGAGGCAGAGGCTGCCCCCCTGTGGTCATTCTGGAGTATAACTGCCACTGGTATCAGAGCCCTCCCTTTCCATTTGACGAGAAGGAGTCAGATTCCATGCACATCCCATTGTCCTGGCACAACCAAACCATTACAATGCTTTGACTTGTGAGACGAGGAAGCTGCATACCAAATTTGGTGGTCCTTGCTCTTACGGTTTAGGAGGAGTTCTTGAACAAACAGACTCACAGACGAATGGACAGACAGACACACCAACTCTCCCAAATATATAGTAGATACATGGAAGCCGTTTACTTTGCTCCGGGAACCATACACAGGAATTGTATCTTGTGATAAAATCTCAGCTCTCCTACTGCTTCAGTGTAGGTTTTCCCATTCAACAGAAGAATGCAATTGGCTGGTCAATGCAACCACAGCTTTAGAAACTATGGGTCAGCCTGCACACAAGAGTCAAACCACAGGAAAGAGCTAGGTCCAGCCCATGCAAAATTACAACAGTCTACCCTGCTTCTTGGTCCCTCAGAACACTCTCTCCTGTGGAGACCTCCCCTCTCACCAGTCCATGTACCCGTCATCCACCTACCAGCCACAGCTCACTACCTTGAGCAATGCCCCATTAGCCTCTACTCTCCCCAGACCCAATTGCCTTTCCCCCTCCAGCTTTTCTAAGCAGGACAGTCACCTTCACAACTTCAGCTTCTGCCTGGCACATCCTGGTTCCTCACTCTCACTCCCTCCTTTTGCCCTTCAACCCTGGATCATTAACCCCACTTGTCACAAGGGCCACTTACCAATCCTTGTTTTCAAAACACCTGCTCCCTTCCCCATTGCTGAGAACCCGAGTTCCCTCTCTAGAACCATCACACGATCCTTAACAACACACACATCCCTGATTAACCTACCTCGGCCTGGCCTCGGCACTCTATGGGCATTATCTGAAGTGTGCAATAAAGAATCACAGGAAGAGCCACAGGAGTTCAGTGGTGAGAGTCAGCGCATGGTTCGTGCACAGCAGCAGGCATCTTGTCCATGACAATGGAATGGAAAAATGAGATATCTTCCTTAAGCCAAAAAATAAATCAAATCCTTACCTTTTCATACCATACTGACTTCTTGCAAGTTACCAGTTCATGCAGTTCATCATGTAGAGTCACGAGATCTTTTGTCAATGTGTCTATTTCTCCGATAATATTGCTAGCACTGTGGCAACACAAGTTAGCATTTGGCAATGGGTTTTTCTCTTTACAAACATCCTGTGGCTTGTATGTATTTGCATCTTCAGCCAGGGTATCTAATACAGTTTCCTAAAGAAAAAAAATACACGGTACAATTAATTAACTTTAAAGCACTAACCAGAAATCTTTGCTTGCCAGGTGCTTCCCCAATATTTAATTTTAAGAACATAGTATAAATTGACTGGTGATCTCAGACATCTCTACTCGCTACATTTTTTTTTTAAAGAAAATATGATTACTGAACAGAATTGGCTCAGCTTGCTAATAAATACACGTTTTAGTGTATTTCTGAATTAGCAAATGCCCAAGGAAAAGGCTATACTGTGTTGCCATTATTGAAAGCGAACAAAATCCAGGGAATGTAAGCAGATCATAGCTCAGTGCTCCAGAAGCTCTGAACATGGCCTCCAGAGATTTGAAGAAGGGGTTCTCTCTTTATGACCTCTCTGTTCAAATGTCAGGATTAGTAGGTGATACAATTACTGCATTCAATGTGCATTGTGCTTACTTCAGACTCTGGATTAAAACAGTTAATCAGTTTGGTCCTAAATCTTACCCAGGCAAGTCTTGCATTCGGTGCACATTGTCTTTCTTAGGCCACAGCTATGCTACAAGGACTGTAATAACATACCTACACTATCAGAGCCACGCCAGCATAACTGGCAATGGAAGGGGGTTTTCTGTTGCTGTCTGAACCCCACCTTCCCAAGCTCAGGTAGTCAGAGGTCAATGGAAACATTCTTCTGTAGGCCCAGCTGAATCTACACTGGGAGCTGGACTGGCATAGCTACAGCACTGAGGGGAAGAGGGACTTTCACACCCTTGAGTGCCATAACTAAGCCAGTTAAATTTTAAGTGAAGATCTGGCCCAATTTGCCCTGCAGCTCGTAAGTAGCAGCAACAAACCAGCATGGAACGAGGTGTAACAGTTCATTCGAACTAAGGACTTAGTTGGAATTACCGTTTCACTGCCGCGTGTAGCCGCGGGCAGTTACTTCGGACTAGTGGAATTTAAAAATGGCTACCGGACAGGAACAAGTCTGATCCTGACACTGTAACAATTGCTGCCTGAGTTTCCATTTAGGCTTCTGTAGATCCTGCCATCTACTGCGCTTGTTTTCCAGCATTTTCTTGCTGAAAATGATCTTTCTGAAGATTGTCATGGTTTTGTAGTATCTTTCTTAGAAATCCATGCTCCTTTATGGACTTGCCTGTGCTGAAATGTTGTGTGTGCTATAAAGAAACTGGTGATAGCAGAGACCTGAAACAATCCATCGCCTTGCTCATGTCCTAATTCTATTCCTTCTTTTCCCAGGGTGTTCATCCAGTCAGTGTTATCACTCCCAATATTGCATTAAAGCCCCCGTTATGAGGAAACAACCTCTAGATGTGGTTTGTGAAATGTCTGCTTGAAGTTCAGTGTAAAATTGGTTTATGGCACTGTCATCTGCATATGTTGCGGGTATTTTATAGTTACAGGTCCACCTTTCCCTGGTAGTTCAGTGCTCATTACATGTGTAGACATGAACCTACAGCTTTTCAAGGAACTGTAAGCTTTGTCTAATAATATGAAGACAACTCTGTATTCAGACCCTTCATATCCTACAAAAGCACCCCTGTATTTACACCCTTCACAGTATTGTAACTATCTTTGTACAACACATGCCTTGTGAGGTATCTTTCAAAACTAACTCCTCACTGGTCAATTATATCCTGATGAAATGTATATAGCAACTTTATGTATAAAATTATAAACTAACCCTGTATGATGTAATTAGCACTAGGGCTATCAAGTGATTAAAAATTAATCACAAATAAGTGTGCTGTTAAACAATAGAATACCACTTATTGAAATATTTTTGAATGTTTTCTACATTTTTAAATATATTGATTTCCATAACAAAACAGATTACAAAGTGTACCATGCTTAATATTTGTATTACACTATTTGCACTGTAAAAAACAAAATAGTATTTACAATTCCCCCATTACAAGTACTGTACTGCAATCTCTTTGTTATGAAAGCTGAACAAAGGTAGAATTATGTAAAAAAAAAACCTGCATTCAAAAATAAAACAATGTAAAACTTTAGAGCCAAAAAGTCCACTCAGCTAATCACTCAGACAAACAAGTTGGTTTATATTTGCAGGAGATAATGCTGCCTACGTCTTGTTTACAATGCCCCCTGAAAGTGAGAACAGGCACTCATCTGGCATTGTTATACCCAGCATTGAAAGACATGTAGGTGTGTTAAAGATTCATGTGTCTGTTCTTGCTTCTACCACTATTCCAGAGGACATGGTGTGGTGTTAGTAACAAGCTAATTCAAATACTGCAGAATGTGTGTTGCACACAGTAAGAGTCAATAGTGAACTCACAGAGTGGTTTGAAAACTGAAGTGACGTGAGGATGTATACTCCAATACTTGTTGCTCTATATTTAGAAAATATCTTGCCCAACTCCCTTAGTAACATTGAGAGAGGCTGCATGATCTCGGGACAAAGTCACCTTTACTTTGAAGATAATATCATAATTTCATCTACAGAGGACTATGCCCAAGAAGCAGCAACTGAACTGTACACAGCAGCCAGAGAACGGGGTTCAAAACTGAATGCCCAAAAGAACAAACAAATGGAACAAGACCGTAGTGATAGTCTAGCGCTGACACTGGCGGCAAGAAGGAACTGGGTGTGGGGGCAGCGGGCAGTGCCCCTTATATCACACCAAGAGGGCACCAGAGCTACTCCCCTACGGATGGCACCAGTGCACATGGTGATCACACACGCCTAATGTGGACTGCACATGTGTAATCCCTTCAAGAAGCAGCACCTGTTTTCTGCACTAGATAACCTTTTTCTAATGCAAAGCATTCTTAAGATAATTCTGCCAGGTAGAGTTCCAACAGAAATCAAAACACATCTTCTCTGGGTTCTTGAATATGTTCTACAATATTCAAGAACAATACCAAAAGAAAAGAAAACAGAATTGATGCCACTGACTGAGAGAACATGCACATTTCCCATCACAAATGATGGTGAGTTAAATTCTCTAATACCATCCAACTGTTGGCCAGTATTTATTTAGGACTTGATCCAGACAGGTGCTGAGATCACAGTACCCTCAACAACCTGCTCAGACACGCACAGCACCAGCCTCCTGGTGAGCAGATCAAAACTCCACAGCTACCATTTGCCTAGCTGAATGCTTGTTTGTATGATTCTGGATCTGTGGCCATCTTAACGCTGACACTTTTCAGAGCAGCACAATTACAGAGATAAATAAAGCACCAGCTGTTATGGAAACAACCACCTTTCCTGATACCACAATTGTACTAGTGTGGTTTTAAAGTGTTTTTCAAGGCAGTTTAGATGATTTTTTACTCCTTTATTTTGCTCTCAGTATATAACAATGCAATTAATGACTCTCCTTCTCCAAATTCTATATACTCACATTGTTAAATTTCTGTTTTTAAGAATTATTTTCAGCAGCTGCAAATGGGTGAAAGTTTTATATTAAAGTGAGATGCACAGAAGTCATAAGATGCACAGAGGAAGGCTTATTGATTTTCTAATGATCATTCAACACCATGCAAGGGGAATTCTGTAATTTCTACACACTATCTGGCTGGAAAAATGAAGGTGTTTGAAATTTCAACGGCTTGAAAATGTAGTTGTCTCTGAGTCTGTAATAAAGCTTAAAACTCCTCTTCTGACAAGCCATTTAATTTATAACAAAATGTGTGATTGCTATGTTTTCTTAAACATAAAAGAGATGAAAGATTAGGCATTTCCATTTGTGGTAACTGTAGATGCCTGAAATTCAGCTTCTCTTCCCTCCAGTTTGGCAGCCTATTGGAGTAAGTCATCCAACAGATGCTAGACTGATGAGCGAGATCTAAGGATACAGACTTTCATTTAAAAGGCCTCCTCTTCAAAAGGAAGTTGTATAGCCAGTTGATAACTTTCACTTTTCCACATATGCAGGAAGGGCATTAGAGGAGCAACCGTTTACCAGAAGTAACAAAAAATTGCAGCCTTAATATTTCGTTTGGTTCATTACCATCCACTGCCAATAGACTGGTTCCAGTTCTTTCCACTCCAGAAAGGCTTCTAATCGAGAGTTTTCAGACTCCAGTAACTGCAACAACTGAGAAGAGGGGGAAAAAAAGAAAATCAAAAGTCCCATTTGGTCATCTGCGCAACGTATAAAGTGCAATTTTTAAAGCCTTTCTGGTCTGAATAACGAAGGCTTTCAATCACATCGCTTCAGTAGTACTCATTCCTTTCACATCATAGTGCACCTCGCAGACGGACATTTACAGGCAGAACATTCATCTGCAAAAACGGTAAGGATTGAGAACACATATGAACTTGTGTGGATGCCCACATCCCTCCCTACTGTGTAACTGCAAACACGGATGCTTCTTACACAAGGCAGTGGGATACAGAGCGAGGACCAGTCCCATGGATCCAGTACTCCCGCAGTTTCTTCCTTCTCACTATATGCTGCTATGACTGAGGCTTGCACTATGCATTATTTAGCAGGAAGCAATGCAAATGCTAGTGATGCAAATTTGATTGGAACTGAATAAAAGCTTTTCCTCACGTCCAGTCCCCAGCCATAAAACAGCAGCAGTCCCTCACATACACATATGTGGCTTCAAGTGTCACTTAGAAGGGTTCAAAACAATACAACTCGTCTATAAAAAGATCTTTGCCCCTTTAGATCCTGAAACCTCCTGTGCTTCTTTGATACCAATATTAATCTCACAGCTCAGCCACACTCCAAACACTGCTGCTACCGGGGTCACTCTCCCATCTGGATCAAACCTCGCTCCCCCACTATTCTTTGAATCTGGCCAGCATACCAAGTTTAAATCCCTTCTTGTCTAAGGCTGTGTTCCAGCCACAATCTTGGACCTGGATGCATCCCCTCCAACGCCACTCTCCTGATATCCAGTTATTTCTCCTTCTCCCGTCTCTCTGCCGTGTCCTGCACCGCTCCTCTCCTCAGAGTCCCAAGCTGCCAAGCTCATCCCCTGCTCCTTATTCAAATGATTTATAAACACTCAATTCTCCAGCACTGCTCACAAGTAGGAGCTGATCAGGAGGAATTCTCTCTGAAATGGAAGCATCTATATAACATAACCAGATTGTCTCCCTCACTGGAGTGCCTCTCCCACAGATACTTTTATGGGCAATGCAAGAAGTGAGGGTTTTACAAGGGATTTGAAAGCTACCGAGACGTAGAGGGGAGAAGATAGCTATCACTAGATCTCGCCCCTCCTCCCAGTTCAGAGTCAGATAGGGATAGAACAGCCTCCTTTTTCAAAAGGGCAACCTAACTTGAGTCAGCTGGGAGAGCAGTGGGTACTGTTGTGCATCTGCCCTCCAGAAACCAGGCTGCTATGGCAGCACACACATTAACAGTCCCTCTGGCACAGTAAGGTGAATATACAAACTGGAGACCAAGATCCCCAGAATGGCTAGCTAGGGAACAGCACGATCCAGAGAGAGATTTCAAAAACTCTTCTGGCCACAACAAGATGGATGGGAAAACAGGAGATAAGTAAGTTATCTGCGAGTGCCACAGTAACTCATCAGCTTTAGGATACAGAATTGAATCTAGGTAAAGGCCATTATTTGAAATGAATGACTCCATGCCACTAGGGCACTGCAGGCAAGTTTTTGAAGGACTCCAAAAGCATTTTCCTGACATGATTTCAAAGATGAAGATCAAGACCGGAGCCCTAATTCAATCTACTTAGCACAGACATAACTATATTCAGCCAGCTTTGTGGCTTTTACTTACTTTGTATTGCAATGGCTAACAGAGAACTCAAAACCCTGAGCTATCTGCTTTGCTCTTTTAATCTAAAGCTGATAGAAGGAGGGGAGAACAGTAACATGATAAAATAATGGCTACAAATTACTAAATGCTAGATTCAAAACACATCACACACTGTTCATGCAAACAGCACAGGCTGGTGTGCACATCTTACTGCTGCCAGTGTCTGCCAGTTACCGCATTAGCACAGATGTTAAAGGTGACCTGCAAAGGGGAAGGAGAGTTGGAATTCTACCCTTTGAGCTGCTGTATGACAGCTAAGGAGAAGCTGAAGAGAGGGGAAGGGGAGAGAATCTTTGTTCATTTGGATTTTTCTTTTTGATAAAAAAAACCTTAGAAATATCACACATCAGCTATGATCTTCCCTAGTTAGACCAAAGGAACTATGGCTATTTCAGAGGATGTAAGTTATTAGCTCTTACACCTTAGCTGAAAGGCTAAGAGCATTAAGCCTTTACCAAAGGCTTTCTTTCTCCAACATGTTAGTCACTTGAACTAAATAGGAGTTCACTAAAAAAAAAAAAAAGCATCTTAATTAAGTCCACCTACTAACCTTCAAAGCCATTTGCCAACATTAAGTAATTTATGTGAACTGCAGCCATTTGAGACCAGGGTTTTCAAGAGTCTCTTATCCCCATTTTGCAGATGGCAAAACAAAAGCCTGGAAATGCTGCTGCTTTGCATCTTTCAAGACGATAGAATTTTCCTTTAAGTGGCCCAATATAGATTAGGTTCTGCTTTAATGTGGGATGAGCAATCTACTCATCTGCTCCCCAAGCAAGTGATCCCTTTGGAAATAACCCTAGAAGACAGATCAAAGTTCTGCATTTGATCTAAGGACCAATGTGTTTGTCCTTTCTAATAAAACATAAAGGCTCCAACACCTCCAGAAGGAGGAGCATTCACTGTCTCTCATGATCAAAAGGAAACTTTAAGTAAAACAATTTTTGCTTTGAATAGAAATTGGAGTGAAGCTTAGGGATAATATGTGAACATCATTTTTCTCTTTGTGCAAAACTGGGATAATGTGACTCTTGTAAGAGAATTGCCATTTTCTCCAGCTTTCTACAGGAAGTAACTGCCTCAAACTACTTACACTGAAAGACAAATTAATGATAAATTCCAGTTACCAAGATCTGTTGCAAAATAATTCCATAATAGATGTTGAAAGCAAACACTTACCAATAACTTTCTCTCTAAACCTTTGTTTAAAAAAAAAATCTATCGCTTGTACAAATGACTTGACAGGCAATTGCTTTTTAAGAAACCTAAACGAAGCTTAATTGAATAGTGCCCCAGCACCCGCCTGTAACATTATATTCCATATTCTTTATGGAAATAGGCTTAAGACATGAACATGTCATAGCAGAGATGTGCTTTATGCAAGATAATTCATGTAAGACATCATTGGAAAGGTTATGAGCCACTGAATGCAGCTACCTGGTATACATGTCGGTATCATTCTTGTATCTGAAGTTAGGAACGCTGACCTGTGCTACCTGTGTTTCACATTTGCTGCTTTGGGTGACTCCCACTGCTGATACTTCAGAGTCTACAATGGAAAAGCCCATCAGCAAAGAACATGGACTGTGAAAACTCTTAGCCTTCCTGTCCACATTCCACACTACTACTGAATCCTGGATGCTGGGGTGCTACAGAGTAAGGTGACCTTGTCACCTGGTACTCACCTGGTACTCACCACCACCTTGGTGGTGCCTTTCCGCTGAGGGGGGAGGGTGAACTACACACAGGGTTCCTGCCTTATGGAAATTCTACAGAAGGCCAGGGAGGAAAACAATGATTGCCTTCAGCTTGCTTCTCCTCTGTTTGAAAACACCCTTGAAACAAAAGGACTTGAACTAGGAGGAAGGGGAGAACTGCTGGACCCCGGCTACAAGATAGCTAGGCCGTAAAGGAATCTACCTGAAACGATATCTAGGGTGAGGAATATTATTCGTAACCAGTTATTTTAGTGAATCTAGCTTAGATGGTGTCCTTTGTATTATTTTCTTAGTAATCCGCTTTGTTCTGTTTCCTACTTCTTTGGCCACTTAAAATACAGCTTTTTATCGTTAATAAACTTATTTCTGATTTATAATATAGCCCCGTTTGTAATTTCTAAATGGGGGTGGCAGGAAGCTGTGCAGAGCTTCCTTCACGTTGAGGGAGGAGATGAAAATAATCCTATTTTGGGTTTCATAGAATACTAGAATCTTACAACTGGAAGGGACCTTGAGAGGTTATCAAGTCCAGTCTCCTGCCCTCACAGCAGGACCAAATACCATCTAGATTGGGACTACTCAACACATGGCCTGTTTGCGGCCCACGAGTGGGAGCCAAAAGAAAAAAGTAGCCAATATAATGGTATTCTCTTGGTATTCATTTTAGTAGTTAAATTCCTGGACTGTCATTGCTCATTAAAAGTGCTGTCAGATGGGTGGAAATCAGATAAATATTGGGCCAAACTGACTTAAATGGGACCTGTGTGTTGTGTAGTCTTGCCTTAATCTTTGTATTCATGCCTGTCAGTGTGAAAGAAGCTATTTGCATATATATGCAACCACTCTTAAGTTGCGGCCCTCTGCATGTGATGCATCATTGTGGCCTCTGGGGCTTCAAAATTGAGTGGCCCTGCTCTAGATGATCCCTGACAGATGTGTGTCGAACCTGCTCTTAAATATCTCCAGTGATGAAGATACCACAACCTCCTTAGGCAATTTAGTCCAGTGCTTCACCACCCTAACAGGCAGGAAGGTATTCCTAAATAGTGTCCAACTTAAACCCCCCTTGCTGCAATTTAAGCCCATTGCTTCTTGTACTATCCTCAGAGGCCAAGGAGAACAATTTTTCTCTCTCCTCCTAGGAACACCTTTTTAGCCTCTTTCGAAAGATCGCGTCTAGACTGCAGGCGGATCTTTCGAAAGAGAAATCCGCTTTTTCGAAAGAGAGCACCCAGCGAGTCTGGATGCTCTCTTTCGAAGACGGCCTCTTTACATTGAAGAACGCCTTCTTTCGAAAGAGGAACTTTCGAAAGAAGGCGTTCTTCCTCGTAAATTGAGGTTTACCGCCATCGAAAGAAAAGCCGCGTTCTTTCGAAATATTTTCGAAAGAACGTGGCTTGAGTCTGGACGCAGGGGAAGTTTTTTCGGGAAAAGGCTACTTTTCCCGAAAAAACCCCTGAGTCTGGACACGGCCTTAGTCTTCTCCTTTCCAAACTAAACAAATCCAATTCTTTCAGTCACATTTTCTACATTTTTAATGATTTTTGTTGCTCTTCTCTGGACCTCTCCAATTTGTCC